CAGTTGAAGCGTAGAGATAAGCCATAAGAGATGCATGGATAAAAAAATTACAGCCAAAATCCAACAACAAAATTAAAACCCGGGGTCCAGCATTTTTGCAGTGTCAATCGATGGAATCATCACCGACCGCTTTAGGTTGGAAGTTGATGATTTAATAAGTCTCACTCTTCAAATAGCAACGGTATCTACAAATACAGTACTATTCAAGACAACATCGCACTCCACAATGGCTGTCATTACCTTTTGCGGCATCGTTCTCCACAAACTTCATATCCTTTGCAATGCCCAGCATGGCTCGTACTGACACAATTTTCTCCCTTGGTTTCCCGCTAAGTTTACCGATTCTTTCCTCCTCTCTATCAATTTTCTCCCATTCTTCAAACGATACTGGATCACACTGCCGTGAACGAAGTAGTTCCAAAATCTGAGTGGGATCGCGGATCTTATCGCTCAAATTCAAGCGACCAGACTGTATATCCTCCATCAAGGTATCCACCGTCTCGTATGCATCGTTCATGGTCGTTAAGATAACACCAACAGGGCCACGTTTAATCCATCCACTACAGTACAGCCCCGGCATCTGATCGACTCTGCCCATATCGTTAGGAACGATGCACTCTGCAGAGTCGAAGGGAATACTGCCACACAGCGGAACTGCTTCGTATCCAATACTCCGAATTACAAGGCCACACTTTATGATGTCCACGTCATCTGTGGAAACCACACCGGAAGAAATATCCATGGGATCCTAATGACAAAGCAAAATAGAAAACTTAACTCGCAATTGCAACCGGGCAGCCGACTATCAAAAACATTGAGTTACCGCCGTTCCTGGCTCTTTTGTAAAACTGACAAAAACAACTGACACTTCCAGGAACCGATCTCACAAGTCAGAAAGTTCAAAAATTACCCACCCTTAGTCGATTGACAGAAAAATTCACAGCTTCGATTCTGTCATCACTCCGAACAATCTTTCTCGGACTAGCAAGAAATTTCAGATAGCAATTTTTGCCAGTGTCTGAAGGAACATTTCCGGCACAGCTCACCATCAACTCCATTAACCTCTTCCGCTGTCTGGGAAACTCTTTTAAATGATTTCTTATCAAAGCGACGTCAACTTCATTCAGAATTATATTAACATCCGGTAGTTTAGTCAATTCACGAAATTCCTTAATCGTAAACGCAACCTGTGCTGGTCCCCTACGTCCAACCTGGAAAAAAAGGAGACAATTACTCACGTCGATAAATACCAACTCAACTCGATTTCTCCACAAGTTCTAATAGACTACTTTATTTTAATTGTAAGACAATTTCTTATATAAAACATTAATGCATACTTCTACTGCATTTTTATTGTTTTTTCATATTAGCTTTTTCCATACTTACCGGCATGCGTGTCTCAAAATAGCGTCGATTTACCGTGCAGTGCACAGTAGCAGAGTACATTCAAACAAACCTTATATCGCGATTTTTAAAGCAAACACTCCATCCGTAGAAGTATTCGAGGTAAAACTTTATATATTGGTGCTGTACTTCACTCGAGATTTTTAAAAACTTAGGGGCACACATCACTTGCTTCGAGCTCGCAAATCTCGCAAAAAACGTATCTATTTCGAAAACTATTCAAATTTACCTTACCTACGTAACTATTTATTTATTACTGCTTTACCAAAAAAATATTCCGGACTCGACTTCTACGCAGCGCTTCCAATGCATACTCCGTAATATCAGTTTTGCTCAGCGCATCCGGCGATGTGAGCAATATTCTCGCAACGTCAACCGCCACATTTCCTTGACCGACGATGACCGCTGAGGAATGGGAGAAATCGGGCTGAAAAGATGCATCGTCTGGAAGCCCATTATACCAGCCAACAATATTCCGAGCCGAGTACACACCAAATCCATCCTCACCGGGAATATCCAATAAACGATCGCGGGAAGCACCACTGGCTAAAACAACAGCATGGTATTGCTGGAGGAGTTCCGCCACCGTTAGCGTTGACCCAATGGTTACACCGCCGAAAAAACGAAATTCTGGACATTTGGCTGTCGTGGAAAACGAGTGTATTACATTCTACAAATTTCCATAACATGAAAACAGAATTACGTGAACACGTAAACAAGGATCGGGGAAACCGTAGCATCCACTCTTGCAAAAATGCAAATAAATCAGTAAAATTAATGATTAACTATTAATCAAACATAAAAACACTGTAAAGCCCTTGTGGGCCTTATTGTATTTTTATCAATAAAAATAAATTCCACACAAGACAAAAAACCAGCTCAGAATTTCGCGAAGATTTTTATCTGCTCGTGCAATAACGACAATTTAAAAGGTTAGAAGAACGTTCCTGTTGAAAGGCCTGCACAACTTACTTTCACTTCCGGATGATCAGGAGCGACACCAAAGCGTACCAGTCCAAATGGGACTGGATATTTTTCAAACATATCCACACAAGATCCATTAATGTGCTGCAAAGTACAAAAATTTCGAATTCATCAAATTTTAAAATAAATTTACAGCTTTCAGTTGTTCGACTTTTTTCCTACTGTTATCACTTGCTAAATTTGCAAAGTCTTTATCTCCTCATTTTTTCGGCTCTCGGGACGCTATGGCGCATACTGCATATGTAGATACTGCTGTCGCGCATTTGGTACCAACCTTTAAAACATACTGTGCGCTATAAAATCCTGCTGGTCCGCTGCCTACCACCGCGATTCGTGGCGCCTTCGAAGGATAAATTGTCGTCGAAAAGAATCTGCTACTTCTCAGAAATGGCACTGTACGCATTGTGGAATTTATGGCGACTCGCGGAACAGTTCGCATGATGACAAGCAAACTCTAAAAGCAATCTGGACCGTGAATAGGTTATAAAATATTCTATATAAACCAATGAAATCTTAATTGGAAGAAGCTCTCAAACATCAATACCGACAATACGTCCAACAAGCGGTACCTCACGTTAGAAACATTTTTATGCAGAACTATACATGTCGTATTATATATCTCTGTACATTATGTCGAAGTAACTGAAAGCCCACAGAACTCACAATTAAAACTGAAAACTACAGTAATAACAACTTACAATATAACTGATAATGATGCTGATTGAGTGAACTAATCAGAAATATTTGTTTTACTATACAGGATACATATATTGTTTATTTAAAAAAAAAGAATATAATGATATATTGATTTATTCTGAATATTATACATAAAGTGTGTTGTAGCGGTGACCACCGCGGGCGAGCGGTCGCTTATTATAAAGGGTACTGGATAAGCACCGGAAGTTTTCGGAGGAGAACAGAGACATTCATAAATTTCTTATGATCTTATTATACAGTAACTGGAGATACTGGTAAGTGGTACCGTTATTCTATTGATTTCTACACCTGTCCCTCGTGCATCATTGAACCTTTCACGGTTGACGGATCTTTCGCTAGGACATCTACAGATAGCCGCTACAGCTCGGAACCCTTCATATTGCGATCGCAGTTATCAGGTTCGCTTTCGTGCACATTGGAATCGAGAGTCCAGAGCAATCTTCGTGCGCTTTCTGAACTCTGAGTGACCGAAAGCTTCATTTGACTGGCCCCTATAATGCCTCTTGTGATTTTGTGCGGCCTTCCCGCTTCCGGAAAAAGTAGCAGGGAGAGGGAGCTACAGCGGTATTTGGAGGAGACTGCGAAAATTCCCGTAATTGTTTTATCGGATTGTGTTCATTTTGGAGGATTGTCCAAAACTGAGTTGTACAGCAGTGAGTGTTTTAGCGTGACTGAAGGCTTACTTATTTTTTATGAACTTGCAGCTATGATCATTATCCGTTTTAAACAGGTTCTGCTGCAGAAAAAAATCTTCGAGCTGCTGTAAAATCAGATATTCAGCGTTCAATTTCTAAAGAAACCGTTGTCATTGTTGATGCTCTCAACTATATTAAAGGATACCGCTACGAAATTTGGTGTATTGCCAAATCGTCCAAAACTCCTCAATGCATGGTACAATAACTACAGTTTATGTTGGAACCTGGAATAACTTGAAGCGTCTGCGTGATCAGTATTTTATATGCAGATTTGGTGCAATACTCCCATTGAAACAGCCAAAAGTTGGAATTCTAGTATGCCGATAGCCCAGCAGTATTCGCCCGAAGTGTAAGTTACGGGAATTTGAGAAATACAGTTCTGTGTTATCTGTGCTAAAACTTTGGCTTCCTTGAGTGTGAAGATTTTTATTACAGTATTTAATTCGCTCCGATTGTATGGCAGATAATTAGCAGTTTGCGGAGGATGTCTAATGCCGGCGAACTGTTCATTTCAGGTATGACGCACTCGTTATGCGCTTTGAACCTCCTGATAGTCAGAATCGTTGGGAAAATCCATTGTTTACCGTTCTTCCGGAGGACGTTTTGCCTTTTAATGATATCCTTGCCTCTCTTCTGAACCGGCAACCTCCCCCTCCAAACCAGTCCACGCAATCACAGCCACTCGCACCCGTTAATTACCTGCACGAACTCGACAAGGTTACGCAGAACATAACGGCTGCCATTTTATCTTCTCAGCTTAATGGACAACCGGGAGACAAAATTATTGTACCGGGCATCGTTGAACCAATTGCATTTGGCCAAAAGATATCCGCTCCGGAGTTAAGTCGTCTGAGGAGACAGTTTATCTCGCATTCGAGAACAAGACCCGTGGAAAATTTAGATAGAATTCCGCTGGTTTTTATTGAGTACTTAAAAAATACTGTGAAATAAAATTAATGAGACTTTCCGCCCTAGAAATATGAAATGCCGCCGATCCGTGAATGTTGGAGCACGGTGTCTGTGATGGTATCATACTGTCGTTGAGGTTTTCGAATATCATGCTATTTGGGACCAGTGTACCAGATAGTCATGTTCTTTTAATGACTATTTCTTTTGGTTTGAAATAAAATTTACATCATATGCCGGTACAGTCTATACGCTTGTTAATTATTACTCAGCGGTTTGTCGAGATCGTTAACGACCAAGCGATTTTATTTGATCTCAAAACTATCTGCAAGTAGAAATGATAAACTCTAATGCAGCAATTCATCGCCATAACCCACGATTTCAAATATATTCGAGCCCGGAAAAATGTTACCCTTTTGTTCATCGGATAAACGTCGAAAATGATTGCGCACACTCTCCATCGATAAACCATAAAATGTTTTTACAAACGATCTAGTGACTGTTGTAGTTTCTTTCTTCTCTTCATTAGTTGTTTCAACGTCACGCGAGATCTTTTCGCTTCTGATTACCGGATTTTGTTCTTTCACAGACTTGCTAAAGTGCATTTCAGGCAGTATCTTCTCCACGACTGCAAAATCAGAGCTCATCTCGGTGGCGAAAACAGAATTTTCCTCCACTCTTTTTCGTTTCTTTTTGATAACCTTCTCCGTTTGTGTAACCACTTCAGTCTCCGTAAGCTTAACTGAGCTACACTGATCGATACCGCTTTCAGCCTAAAGAGTATCGAGAATTCAAATATTTAAAAATAAGGCCATGTTTACAAAGACATACTACCGTTGTCATTTCCGGAGAATTTTGGGATTCTTCAACAGCGTCTTCTACATGGTAGACGTCATCCAACTCCTGGTCGTCTGCGCACACGATTTCCGGTGGGACCAATTCAACAACCGTTTCAACACGCTTCCGTTTCTTCTTCGTTCGACAGGACTCAACGGATACTGGAGGTTCAGCAGGTATTCTTTCGATACCATTATAGTCATCTTTCTGATGATGCAAAACATCCTACCAAATAAAGGCGTTCTCAAGGGCTCATATTGCGTCCCATAGGAAATGGACACCATTTTGTAGCAAAAAATCCCACTAACTGTACTCTGTAAGCAATAAAAAATGTCGGCACTCGTTCAGAACTCACCCTAGTTGGAATATCGTTATTAAGTTCTTTTTGCTCTGGTTCAAGCGGAGATGACATCTTTTCCTTCTTTTGTTTCAATTTCTTCTGGAAATAATCCTGAATGTTATCCGAGCTCGTTGTGGTATGCAATCCGGTAACAAATGAAACCTCCGGTGATATAACCTAAAGATGGACGATTGCCAAATACAGCAAATTATGAAATTCATATAAAACATCGCAATCAGCGAATAGTTCTAAACTAAGGATCCGTTCTTAATGACTGCGGGCGCAATTCAAAATTTAAAAAAATTGCTTTGCATATAAGGGTAAGTTAAAAGTCTTGCGTTTACTTCGATTGCGCTGATGCTTATGTCGTCGCTCTTTTGTTGCCGAGTAGGAGCAGCTGAAGGAATTCGTCCACCGAAAATGGAAGAGATATCTTCTTTGGAACGGCAACTCAAATCCTTTCCCTTTGCAAACTTGTGATAACTGAAAAATCAAATCTTGCGGAATGCAAATAACACGTGATTGCAAAACGCGGCATCCGTTTACTGAATGCGGCCTTTCGTCGATTTTGATTTTTCTTCTAAAGGCATTGTGGTCGGTAATTTAGCATTCCCGACTGTCATTCCTGTCGCTGAGTTTTCAGGTTTCTTGTTGAGAGTGGCCAAAATTGCATTAAAATCGTCATTGTGTGCCAGCCAGTTGTTTTCATGCTGAATGCTGCAGCCCAAACCTGTCATATTAAAATCAGGTTTTAATTTCTACATTCTACCTAGGCTATTTCATTCATGAGCAGTACTTAGTCTCAATAATATCTGAAAAGAATAGGTAAATTAGGAAAAAGAAATAAATATCGCTCAAGTACGAATATAATTAAGAATTCCTTCGTTTAATGTGAGATGCTTCTAATAAAACCTAAATAAAAGAAAGCGACTACCTGGGACCCCCTAAACTTGCGTACCTCTCTGATCATCTTTGAATTTGGGTTGAAGATAGTCGGTGTCGCCCTGCCGTTCGCTACCCAGTCCATCGCCAGGTTGCCAGCCATATTTCTGCATAAGTTTCGAGCCAAACTGCTGCCAGTCTGTGATAGAATATCGTCAAATCTTTCATCCACAGCCGCTGGAGAACCAAAAAAAGTGATCACAATAAAAAGGAGACATACCAGATGATAAGCTTTTTCCTGTGGGTTGAGCGATATGACTTGCTTCTTCCTTGTTCCCGCCAATAATGACATTTCGTAAGGATGACTACTTCCGAAGCACAAACAGCAATGACTTCTGTATGCACGGACGCAGTAAAGTCTCCCTTCTGTTACCCTGTATCAACTTAAAGGCTTATATCAACACTCGTAGCTGAGTAGCTCTGTTGAGGACTTGTGGGTATTTGCAGTTTGCGGTTCAAGTTTCAAGGCAAACCGAGGCGGTCGAAGACCTAAAATTATCACTGGCACTTGTACAACCATTGACAAGGAACAGATTGCCAGACTTACCGTTAGCGACATACCTTATATGAGATGCTGTAAATGAATACGTTTCAATTATAAACTAATTTAGTTCTTATTGCCACGCCGAGATATCATCATCTGAAATCGAAAAAGTTAGTCTCGGGTAGTCTCATCGGGTAGTCTCGGGTAGTCTCATCAAATTTTTAACAGCATAGCTGTTAAAAATTTGATTTAAAAAATTAAAAATTTGATTTAAAAAATTAAAAATTTTAACAGCATAGCTGTTAAAAATTTTTAACCTCAAAAGAAAATCGGGTACAGTATGAGTAGTCTCATCAAATTTTTAACAGCATAGCTGCACACTGCACAGTATGCACAGCCACCCAACGGGTCCACCTGCCTGCCCCACGGCTCACGGGTAAGCACGTGCGATACTTGGCAGTTGGCAGGACAGCCAGGACTTCTGTTTTTTGACAATACCGCCGATGGCGCAGAATCGTCGACCGGATGTGAAGGAGTGGAATGGACTGGTGGAACTGAGTCTGGTAGAATTGATTAAATTAAAATTGTTATACTGAAATTTACCGGTGATGAGACCGCCGCATATTTACTAATCATAATCTGTAACTATAATATTTATATTTACCAGATTCTTATTAGAGGCAATCGTTTACTTATACCGTAGTGCATATGCTTATACTCGTAAAAATGAAATCATTCGAATAGACCGGCCACGGACCACAAGAAACGCACAGGTGAAGCCGAGGCTCTTTCTAGTGAATAATTATAATTATAGCTACGTATTTTCCTAAGTGCAGCACTTTGTTAAATTTAATAAAAAAAATAACAGTTATCATCAGTTATTTGTTATCACCAACAAGCAACGCGTACAATACAACTGTCAGATGAGTGCAATAAGATACGGCGAATGTCGACAAGCACACCTACTGTCCGATAAATTTTCTGATGATTCATTTCCTTAAAGTTTTGAGTTTTGCATTCTGTGCTTGTGTTGGCGGAAGGTACTACTGAAGCACGAATTTTCTTTTAATTTTCCCATGGTAAGTTCAGGTATACAGAAATGTAAGAATACAAATTCAACATGTAAAGTAAAAGAGCCAAGAAAAATAAAGTTTTGTAACTTAATGTAAGCAAAATGAGTCAAGAAATGGGTTTAACCGAAGTAATTCCACCATCTGTAAATATCGCGATGAGTATGAAACCTGTCAAGGCAAAATGAAACTAGCAAAAATTTACATTCTACAGATCTGCACTTATACTCAATCCAATATTCAAATCACTTTACTTTACGCAAATTTGGCTTATCAACAGTTGAGAAATCTATTCACAGCGACATAAATCGCATTAGACATACACGGCCAGCGGCTGCAGCTTCTTCGCCAGTTCCATCACCTTCATCAGCAGCGAAGAGTGGCGAGCGGGTGACTTACGAACCACAGTCTCCAGCTCCGTCATGTATTCCTCGGCATTAGTGTTGTCCATTTCCAGGCCACTGGGTAAAGCGATCCCGCTCATTCCCTCCAAAATGATCTTCAGTGCTTCTCGCTTGGCTTTCTTCGTATCGTCGACTTTCGATTTCAAAGCATTAACACTATCTGCATTACGCTGTGTCTGTTCGCTCTGTGAGATCAGCCCAGAAATGTCAATGTCCAGTTCGTCTGCGGCTTTCTTGACATGTTTCAGTTCACGTTCGCGTTTAGTATTCCACTGCATGAACTCATCCGTCCAAACTGGAATGTGAAATTCCTGAAGAGAGCCCGCGGCAACGGAATGCACTTTAGCCGGCGGCATGCCCAACAGATCTTCCATGCCGGTGTCCACCTCTTCGGTCTTGCGCTTACGGCTGATTACGACCGATTCGGAATCACCGCTGGCATGTTTCTTCCCTCGACGGTTGCTGGTGGAGGAATTCACAGTCGACGGAGTATCGCGATCACGCTGCACTCGGCTGCGCTTGTCCGATTTTCGTGGAGCAACATCCGTTTCAGAGTTACTGTCGGCGGCGATGGCGAGAAAATTTCGGTAATCATCCGTCTTTTTGTACTCCTCCATTTCTGCGGCATGTTGTAGCTTCGCCTTGTCAGCCTGTTCCTCGTATATCTGCAAAATTACAAACCCCGATTTGGCAGTCTATAAGCAAAAACTCAAGCGTTGAAAAATAAGCAAATATAACTTCTTACTACTTCAGCAGTACTATATTTTCTATAAATTACAAACACCGTGCACTTCCCAGCAAATCTTCGGATTTGCAAAGTTTTTCAAACTCTGTGGCCCAAGGGTGGCTTCTTTAACAAAATCTTCGCAAGAAATGTGAACGCAGAAATGAGAAAACCAACACTTTTACGCAACCTGAAACTTTACTTTCCCGAAGTACTCGTAGGTGATCTCGGAAAAATATATCCTTTCGAGGCGTACTTTTAACGCATGCTTCTAACAAGTGCACATGTATGTACCTTCCTGTCTTCGCTCGACAATGTCCGCCACGCCTGACCAACACGTTTAGTAGTTTCCGCTACCGACAGCACATCTCTTGAATTCCGGCGTATTTCTTCTTGCTTATCCAGTAGGAACAACAAATAGGCTGAGAGAGGCTTGACTGGAGCATTAGGATCCTTCTTGGCGCGTTTACGTTGCGGATGACCACGCGAACGATACGAAAATCCTCGAAATTCGGCAGTATTCGCTTGCTTCATAGCTCCGCCGCTCGTCAATTCTGGGCTGCGAGTCTCCGTGCCGCGACTTCCGTTTTCTTCTGATCCACTTGTATCCGCAGAAGAAGCACTTACTTTAGACATTCTGGAATTAACGCAAACATACCGTTCACACCATAATTAATATACCTATTGCACATGTCATTTCTCTATACAGCACACATATACAATCTATACACAGAATAATAATTTATACACAGAATAATAATTTATTGATAGAAACTGAAAGGATGTACGATTACTGTCGCTGTTTAAGTTTTTATTATTATTATTTTATTAATAATAATAATTAATATTTTTATTACATGTATAATAATAGATGTATTCTTATTATATTATTATTAACAAATTACTGTTATCCATGTGAATTACGCGTGTTTGTGTTTACAGAATCGGCTGCACTTGCATTTTGCAAGCTGCCGAATAAGCTTGAACAAACCCACAAAACTACACGAATATGTGTTCGTCGTGTTTGTACAAGATTCCCAATCTTATACTGTACTATAGAATTATTTCTAGGCTACATAGACGATTTCTTAGATTTAGCTTTAAAGGAAAGAGCAGTTAACCGGCACGATGTAATACTGACTTAAACACCATCGGATAAGATAAATTAATAAGTGATTAAAATCTTTACGTCCATAGTTAAAACCATACGTAAAAAAGCATACGTAAACGGCAGCACGAAGGAAGAATCATAAGACTGTGGCTTCAGCTTGTTTGGTGCTCAATCAGCATTTACTTACTATTGTTAGAACTTAGTATGTCAGTATTACAGTTACAACTTTTTTCTTCTTGATTTAGTCACTAGTGCAGCATATGTAGTTGGTACCCAGTACTACCAACTGAATATCTTTATACTTTTACAGTTTTACTTGAATTAAACTATTAAAGGTAGAACTTTTATTCTTTAGATAAGTACCGTACTACATTCTATTCCTTTCCATCAGCAGTCACTACAACAATCGCAACGCATTCGCCATTCAAACTATTTGTAGAACTAGAAGTACTGTAAGACTTACTTACTTGTAACTTGTAAGGTAATATTTAGTGATCTTGCGATTATTTGCTAAATAAGTACATTCTCTGTGATGCCCTCATACCTCATTCAATAACTTTCAATGTGCAAGGTTTGTGCGTGTCTGCGAAGTTTTCTTTAAAGAAAAGCAAAAAAAGTACAGCAAAAGTTGAATTAACCTATAGCAATAAGTACCTAAAACCGAAACGGGAGAAAGCGTAACATTACAGTAATTACTAATAGTAATTACTATCTATAGACTACTTGTATTCAAAGATCTATTACTCGCTGAACTGAAATTTTCGGTGAATACGTGTTTCAGATACTGTACTCTAGAATACACTCCGGGCTTTGCGTTGCTACTTGTATGCTACACAACTAAGGACCCATCAATAGAAGTTACGCCATGAACCCACAATGCGGCGATTTTCGCTGCCGCGCAAATTAGATCTGTGCTTGGGTGAGGGCGGTGCCAAAATGCATACTCGTAAGAGCCTTACGCGTATGTATGTAACTCACCCCTAGCATGCATACATACACGAAACTGATCGAACTGCCAGTGGATCTCGAAATTTCAAACGCTCGTCTTTCGTTTATTTCTCAGCAGAACTTCCAAATCATTATATCAAAGATAGTATTAATTTTCAAACTTTTTGGTATACAGCAAGTGGAAATCTATGGCAAATGAAGAAGTTATGGCTGTTTTAGTTTCTCATAGACTTAGCATAGGATGCAAGCAACGCCTCCTCTACACGGGCCTATGCTTTGTTTACGAGCAAAACAGCCATAACTTCTTGATTTACCATAATTCACTATATAAAAAGTTTGAAAATTAATTCTCTATCTTTGATATATCGATTGGGAAGTTCTGTTGAGACAAACGAAAAGAAGCGTGCTGCAAGTTTTGGGATTGACTGGCAGTCAGGTCATACTTATGTGTTTATGAGCGAGCTGGTCACATCTACACGCGTGCCGCACCAGCTCGTTTTAAGCCATACGCACAAACCAATTTCGACGGCCGGAAGTCTTACTTATATAGACGGGTGCTAACTTATGTGACATACAAGTTGCAACGCAAAGCCCCTACTAACCACAGCACCAATAGAAACTTACCTTAATGTCGAAACACTGGCATAGTAGGTATTTTCAAACAAAATTTCATAAAATTTTCCACAAATTTAATCACAATCGTTCTATACCTATCATTCAATCAATTAAAAGTAATTACGGTATGCTGGAAAGTCTAATCCCGCGTTCCAAAGAATCCAAACGATCGGTGTCTTCGTATCTGTATATACGATCTTTAATATGGCATTGGAAGGCCGAGTGCGACAAAATTGGAACGTGCCTCTTTTAAAAAACGTTTACATGTGTACGCACTAACCATAAGCAGTACTTACTCTAACCATAAGCACTAACGTAATCAGTACAGACTAGTGAGACTACAGAGCAAGTTTATCTGAAAATTCTGTAATCAACAAGGAAGTACCGACACTTGCAGTTACAATTAATTTTTAATTTTTAATTGGCATTTTATTACGTTATTGCAAGTCCGTCTTATCAATTTTATGCATATAATACGAGTCATACGACGTTATATATACGTAGCCATTAGTCGTAATAATATTAATGGCTGCCCTCGCACTGCGCTCATTCTTACCCCAAATTCGCTTCTGCACTCTGGCCGCACTCCGCACTCTGGCCCCACTCGGCCAGGGTCAAAAAGAGGGAGGAATTTTGAGAGGGAGGAATTTCTGCGTGGCCAAAAAGAGGAAGGAATTTCTGAAGCGAGGGAGGGAGGAATTTTGATATGGTCAAAAAGAGGGAGGAATTTTTTCAAAGTTCAAATAAAGTACTTAGGGACCTCGAACACAGGTCTCCGAGGACGCAACCAAAGTCTTCTGAATATCAAGCAAGCGAGCGAAGCGAGCTTGCATTTTATACGTAGGATTTGAGGTTCTCTGTAACACGGAGACCTCGAACCCGGGTTCCTGGGTTCGCCACTGAGTTTTTGCTGCTAACCTACACAACTCGACACGCTGAGTCGAATCGCATCGAGGAACCCAAGAACCCGGGGTCGAGGTCGCTGGGTCCCCGAGGTCGCCACCGGGATTTTGCACTTTTCTGGTACAGTTTAATGTGGCGAGTCTAACCGAAGTACCCGGGTTCGAGGTCTCCTGTTCCCCGAGGTCGCCACCGGGATTTTATGCTTTTCTGGTGCAGTTTAATGCGGTGAAACTTTTAAGTCCAACCAATATCGTAAAAAATTTAAAAACAAATAAAACATTTTTAAATCTTCCTTATTATTTGTCAATATTCCAAAATATTTTTGTAAGCATTTAAAAGTATTTCTAAGAATTTCTTTAAAATTATTTAAAAATATTATTAAAAACTAAAATTTCTGAATGTTTCCAGAAATTGCTAATTAATTATGTTAAGTATTTCAAAATGTATTGCTGAAGCTTTGCAGTACATATTTATATGTTTCTAAATATTCCTATGATTTTTCTAAATATTAAAAAAATATTTCATAACATTTTTAAAAACATTAGATATTTAATTAAGTTAGAAAAATGTAATCAGTTATTAAATTATAAAAATAAATTGATTGTTTTAAAATCTTCTTAATACTTTGAATATTTCTGAATACATTTCTAGATATTTCTAAAAATATTTTCCGAATATTTTCGAATATATTAAATATTCAAAGGAATAAATCATTTAAATTATGGGTACCCTTATAGGCACCCCCTAAAACCCCCGTTTATTATAGGCACCCCTTTTCACACCCCGTTTATTATAGGCACCCTTTTTGGAATTAAAAGTTATAATAGTATTATGTGAAAGGAAAATAATTCACATATTCCAAAAATTTATTCTATCATTTTATGCAGTTGCTATGACCGTAAAAAACTTACTTTGAACAAAAGGTCAGTGTCACACGTCACATGTGGAGCCACGTCACATGTGGAGCCTGGCATACCGGCGTGGATTTCGGCTGGTTGGAAACAACACAAACAATTTTGCGGAAGCTTTCTTCAGAGCAGTGAAGGCAGCAATTCGAGTTACCAAGCGCACAAGACCGCATCTAGCAGAATGCATCCGGATACTCTACGAATTTTCCTGCGGATCTGTGCAATCTTCAAATTACCTTGAATACCTACACGACACAAGTTCCATAAAAGTTCATGCACCAGAACATGAAAACCTATTCAGCAGCCTTGGAAAGTCGTTGAGTGATTTTGCCAACCGTTTGCTTTTCAAGCAATTGTCGATCATGAAGAAATCTGAATACTTAGTAGAGCGAATTATGGGCGGATCTTTGTCGTTGTCAGTCAAGGTAGACAAAGAGAATTCGCAGTTGAAGAATTGGTTACTGATAACAGCAGAGTAATTTTGGAATACGACTGTGATTTCTCGTGCTCATATGGACTGATCTGCCGGCACATGATGGCAGTCCACAAGCATAAAGGCGAGCCGATTGTATCCGTTGATGAATGCATAGCACGCCATGCGCGCGAGCTAAAGTTTTCCGAACCGTTATATAAGGGAGCGCTGACAAACTCAGAGGCGTACGAAGACGACGACGTATGCGAGATTAAACCAATGAATCCCAGACAACGGTACGATGACGCAAGAAGGGCATGCAAACCGGTGATAGCAAATCTGGCCGAACTCTCGCCAGCGCAATTTGAAACGGAAATAGTCCGTTTTCGAGAAATTCTTGATAACTTCATGGAATCGCTAGAAAATCCAGTGACAAGTACAGCGAGCGCTGATAAAGCTTCAGAAAAGGGCAATAAGGACAGAATGGAAGACAAGGGGAAAGATGAAGCTTACCTTACAGTTCGCTTGTATAACAGTATGAATGCTCCGCTGTCGCCGCACGTTCAACTGCAGCTGTCCATGCTGTACGGGGGCGAACAGAATCCGGTCACCGCAGTGTTTCCGATTGTCCAGCTTCAGTTGCCGGGGTCCAATCAGTGCGGCCCGATGGTGTGTTCCTACATGGCTGAACTGATCTCTGGAGTATCGCCGGCGAGCACTGTATTCGCGAAAGCCTCAGCGCAAAGGAAATGGTTGGCCGAAGTGTTACAGGCTGAGAAAATCAGACGGTGTCCTAAACGGCTTGGAAGGAAGGCAGTGAATGAGCTGATTACCGCGAAAGATGACCTTCTAGTCACAGTAGAAGACGCGATATTAATTCGTTCTAGGCTGGCTGATTTACCTAACCGTCCTATTATAGGCTGTAAAGCCTGATGTACTTGTGATTAACTCGATGCCAGAAAAATTGCTGTACTATTATCCGAATAAAACTGCATTACTAATTAAGAATACAAATTTTGTTGTATATAGATATATATATAGTTGTATATGGTCTGTTAAAATGATAAAATAAATTTTTGGAATATGTGACTTATACTCCTTTCACATAATATTATTATAACTTTTAATTCAAAAAGGGTGCCTATAATTAACAGGGTGTGAAAAGGGGTGCCTATAATAAACGGGGGTTTTAGGGGGTGCCTATAACGGTTTCCTTAAATTATTTATAAAAATACGAAATAAGTTAGCTATTTTTAAGTGCTTCTGTTATTCTGAATATTTCTTAAAATATTTCGAAATGTTATTAAATATTCAAACAAATTAGATAATTAAAATAGTTATGCAATTATAAAAATATTTAAAATTTCTAGATCTTCCTAATTATTCCCCATTCTTGCAAACTACTGCTGAAAGTATTTCTAAATATTTCAAATAGATTTATAAAAATTTTATAATTATTTCTAAATATTTTTGAATATCTCAAAATGCTTACTAGAATTCTAAAGAAACTTGTTTAAAGTGTACGAATATTTCTAAATATTGCTGATTTCTTTTAAATGTTTTTAAATATTTCTAATATCTTTATGTATATTTATTTTTTCCACAAAATACTATTATTAAAATATTCATTAACGTTTCTCAATATTTCTAAACATTGCTAACTTCTTTTAATGATTCTAGATATTTATACAGATTTCTTATGTTTATATATATATTTCTGAATGCTTCTTAGAAATGTTTTAAATAATATTCAAAACTCTCTGCAAATATTCTTAAATACTGCTAAATTCTTCTAAATATTTTTATTTATTTTTATAAATATTTTCAAATAAATTGTTTAATATTTCAGGTACTTATAAGTATTCATGAATTCTTTTAAATGTTCCTAAATATTTCTAAGTATATTTCTAAAGATTTCAAATACTTTTATTTATGGTTCTTGATATATTTCAAAAATATTTCTAAAAACATTGCTTAAAAAATTCTAAAAATGTTTCCAAAAATTTGTCTAAAGAAATTTCTAAAAATATTTCTGAAGATATTCCCAAAATATTTCTAAAATATTTCTAAAAATATTTCACAAAGTTTCAGATCTTGCTATATTCTTCTAAATAGTTCTGAACATTTTTAAGTATATTTCAAATATTTTTAATTATTTCAGAATATGTCTAAATTTTTTTTAATATTTTTAACAAATTAAACATTTTTCTAAATATGTCTACATATTTTTGCAAAATTTAATACTTTGAATATTTCTTGATATTTCTAATTATTTTCAATAATTACGATTACCATCGGTTGATTAAATGATTATGATGATATCTGCATCATTCTACATTATCTTTAACAATTTTACAAATATTTTCCCCACCTTTAGCATTGCTCCACCACGGTAAATAAGAAATATCTCTTTTAAACCGTGCCTCCATATTGGGGTGGCATATTGATTCTAAATCACCCGTAATTTTCTACTGAATTTGTTTAATTGAGAACAACTTAAACTAAAAACTAAGAAAAAATAGATATTCATGTTTACTGATAAAAATTAATTTTCGAATAAAACAAGGAATTTAATGCTGGCGGTATACCTACAACATATCGATGCAATAATAGAATTTCGCACGAAGTAACAGGCTTGCACTTGTATTACAGATAAATATTGTGACAATATTATTATGTACCACGGGAAATTAATACTCTTAAAAAAAATAATTTTGAGACGAGTCATTACTTGCATCAACACCAAAACTACACTAAAATGTTGGTAGGAATAATCATACATTGTTATCGGGTTTAAAAATAATATCCTGTTATTGTTGCACGTTGCTTTGTGTGCCATTTCTATTGTTTAGATGCCGATTATATGCAAAAAATATACTAGGTGTTTGAGCTCCTACTGCCCTACACACAGCTGTAATATGGGAGCCGTCCTTGGTGCTGTCTGTGTATTAACGTCGAGAAATGTCTACATATCGCTCGCTTGCTTTCCCTTAGGGCTGCTGAGACCTATACTAGTATACACAGTTTGAAGGGCTGAGTCGAACTGAAGTACTCCGGCACCTCGAACCCGGGTCCCCAAGGTCGCCCTCACGACATGTACCTTATATGCACAATGTGATGTTCTGAGTCGAATTAAAGTACTCGGGGATTATCGAAACCGGGTCCCTGAAGTCGCCATCAGGATATGCAACTTATATGCACTGTTTGCTTTTCCGAGTCGAACTGATGTGCTCGAGACCTCGAAACCGCGTCCCTCGAACCTACAATTATTTTTAACACATTTCTGAATATATTTTTGATTATTCTGAAATTAAGTTTTCTGATATTTCTGTAGATATCTTTTAATATTTCTAAATATTTCTAAACTTTTCACAAAAATATCAACTTTTCGGTTACCGGATGTCCTGATTTCGGATTACAGTATGTGAACTCATCTAAAACTGAACTTCCACTCGTGAATATTTTGCATTTGATTATCTAAAAACCTCAATTCTTAAACAATAAAATTTTACCCATAAACGCACATAAATACCTAAACATGCAAAAAATTTTATTCCCTAGAAACTTCGCTTTTTTTATTTTTTTAAAATTGTTTAAAATGTTAGGAAACCTAAACAACTAGTAACTTAACAGCTGCATAGATAACAGAATCTTCTAACACCAGAACATCAAATTCGGCCCATATGAAACTATCAAATAGCTAAAAATGAACACATCTGAATGGTTCAATATAGATGATAAAATACCTTAGATGTGTTGAGTTACTCGTATGTACTCGTATGTCAAAAAGCCTAAGTCCGAAGCAAATAATGGGCGGTGACTTGGGGGACTCGGTTCCGAGAACCCTCAGCACTTCAGTCCGACTCAGCACAGCAAAATGCGCATATGTGGTACATATCGTGGTGGCGACCTTGGGGACCCATTTCGAGGACCCCTGGTACTTCAGTTCGAATCAGCCTGTCAAACTATATAGGAACCACCATGAAATTCGGTGGCGACCCAAAGGTCACGTGGCGACCTAAAGGTCACAGGTACTTCCGGTTCATCGAACCCTCAACATGTCTTGAATTATAAACGCGGGCGAGCGAAGCGAGCCCGCTTGATGAGAAAATCTCGGTGGCGACCTCGGAGACCTGGGTTCGAGGTCCCTAAGTACTTCATTTGAACTTTGAAAAAATTCCTCCCTCTTTTTTACCATATCAAAATTCCTCCCTCCCTCGCTTCAGAAATTCCTCCCTCTTTTTGACCACGCAGAAATTCCTCCCTCTCAAAATTCCTCCCTCTTTTTGACCCTGCACTCTGCACTCCACAAGAAAATATTTTAATTAATTTGCTCAAGTATGCGATTAATAAAGGTCACACGCTGTAATTTTTTTTAAAACTGAATTCAATTATTCAAATGTAGGTAAATTCAGGAAGGTGTTTTACGCCCGTTATCGATGTGCTTAAAATGTGAGCCTGATTCTATCAGTACGAGTACGTACTGTACCGACTGTACTGTATTTTGTCTGATGAGTGCAGTGCTTTGGAAACTGAATTTTTCAGCCTATTTTTGTCCAGTTCTGCGTACCATTCCGGAGAACGCACACATACGACAAAATCCGCAAATTTCCTCACCTGCCACTTCTCCGATGGGTTATCCAGGGTCCAAACTCCAAAAATAAAACGGATATCGGTACTATAGTGACAGTACAGTACAGTAAATTCTGTTATGGTTTATTTGTAAGTAATTAAGCAGTTTTAAATTTTTACCATTTTACTGTGATTGCACACACTCTACCTCCTGAACTCTGCATTGATCCATTTTTGCAATTTTTGTTGATAATACTTGTTGGGAAACACTTTTGTATGGAATTTTGAAGTGTAGAGTTGGTTTAATACCGTATGTATACAGTATTCTTGAATAAGTTCTTGTTTTTTCAGTGTCGCTTGCAGTTGCGTTGTGTATTAAGTACTTACATTCTACTTGCGGCTGTTAGTAGCTTTGATAGGTGACACAGTGTTGCCCATTGTAACTTGTTCTTGGAAGAAGTGAGAAACTGTTTCGTCGAGATTCTCTGGCGATAATCGACATTTGGCCAAACTACATTGCAGCCATCTTGAGCTTGTTGTGAATGTCATTATTATAAATTATTCAATGTAAAACCTGGAACAGCGCGTTGGAATGGTGGATCATGCATTTTTAAAGATTAATCAGAGGACAACAGTTATTTTTAGTTGGGGTCTTTCTAGTCGCCACTTGATACTTGTGGAATCATAGCGTCGAATTTTGAACCGCTTTGATACAAACATACGTACCGCGTCGTACGTTCATGATAGAATTTATCAGGCTGCATTATCGGAAGTTTGATGAGATAAACACAGTGTTCTTTCTATCCGATCCGTTTAATAATATTGTGGACGTAACTGCACTTCGACTGTGTACGACAGCGTTCTTCTTGTATGAGCTCTGCAGCCTTATCTGCAACATTTGCAAATTCGTTTAGACTGTCATTGGGTTTATCGGAAATTTCGTACACTAGGCTTCTCACTCGGGCTATACGCTGCCGGAATCGGAAATTCTATATAAGTCCTGTTTGAAGGCATTATTCTGACATGGAGACAGAGTCGGCCCCAGTTGATAATAAGATGGATGTGGAACCCCAGCTTGTTTCCGATGCAGTAGGTGAATCTAAAGTGGAAGAAGTACGCGGACAGAAGTTCGATGTGGGTCCTCGTTATTCTAATCTGCAGTACATAGGAGAGGGGGCATATGGAATGGTAGTATCCGCGTTCGACAAGGAGACGCATGCTAAGGTGGCCATTAAGAAGATTTCCCCCTTTGAACATCAGACGTACTGCCAACGAACGCTGCGCGAAATAAAAATTCTGAGCCGTTTTCGCCATGAAAATATAATTGACATTCGGGATGTGCTACGAGCTAGCACCATTGAGCAGATGAAGGATGTTTACATCGTACAGTGTCTGATGGAAACCGACATGTACAAGTTGCTGAAGACGCAGCGCCTGAGCAATGATCACATCTGCTATTTCTTGTATCAAATATTAAGAGGGTTAAAATATATCCATTCCGCTAATGTCCTTCATCGTGATTTGAAACCGAGTAATTTGCTGCTTAACACCAATTGCGATCTCAAGGTGAGGAAATCCGTGAATATCAGAGAGACGAGTGTTGTCAGTTTCCTCAAACAAGTTGCAAATAGTATACTAGTAAATCTACCGCGTTTGCAATTTTACCATAATATTATGGGTCTTTTGCAATACGGAAATTTATTGTTTAACGGTTTCACCAATTGCAATACGCCATGGCCTTTGAAAGAACGATCATTGTACATTAAGCGCACTCCATACTTTCGGTCACTCTGTGCCCCTTTATGTTCAAGTTTAATGAATTTTTATCCTTTCAGATTTGCGATTTTGGTCTGGCGAGAGTTGCTGATCCGGATCATGATCATCGAGGATTTCTTACCGAATATGTTGCCACGCGCTGGTACAGAGCGCCGGAAATAATGTTGAATTCTCGAGGTTATACGAAGTCCATCGATGTCTGGTCTGTGGGGTGTATCTTGGCAGAGATGCTATCAAATCGTCCAATTTTTCCTGGCAAACATTGTGAGTTGTTTGAATTATGACGAATCTTGGGTGCAACAGCTATTTACAACCGGTGTCAATGGTGTAATATCTACCTTTAAAGATCTGCTGCATAGCCTGCAGTAAAATCACTCAAGTCAGTCAAGTGTAACTGAATTGACATTTAGATCACGATTGTTGATTTTTCTTTCGGATACATTTAACAGAAATTCCACAAGAGTCTGTGTCAGAATGTACTAGGGTAGAGTATTGCATGTGCATACATTTTTAATAAGTAGTAGGTTATCAAATATCCATTAAATCTGCGAATGCGCATTAATTTTTATTATGTTTTCAGATCTGGATCAATTAAATCACATATTGAATATTCTTGGATCACCCTCCCAGGATGACCTGCATAGTATTTACAATGAAAAGGTATGGTTATTGAACATGAGACTAGCAAAATGGCAAGCGTCCAGTACGAAATGCTTCTTTTGGAATATTGCACGGTATTCTACGTATTCATTTATGTTGATAATATCATATGGTAATAATAGTTTGAGTATTGTGAGCGCTGTGTTATTAGCCTGTTGTTATATTATTATACCGAATTCTGACGCGAAGAAATTTGAATTATTTTTCGCTGTTATAACAGATCATCATATTTTTGACCGAAGCGAAGGGAAGGTACTCTACTCTGTGTTCACGACACTTTTGTCGTTCGTGCACTCAAATGCTTAAAAATAATGAAAGTAGTTTTTAGAAATGTAAAATATATAAAAAACTAAACAGTGAAACAAAACAGAACAATAAATAAAAAGCAAACTAGTGAAAACCTTTTAACACTCGAAATTTTGGAACTTGAGTTTCCCGCTTCGGCCTTTTAGTGCTATCAGCTGCGGTGCCCTTCGCTGGTAGAAAACTTAGGTAGAAAATAGAGTCATTCCATAAAAATAATTGAGTCTATACCATTTTTTTGTGTAAAGGCTCGAGGATACCTGGAGTCTCTTCCGATTAAAACAAAGCAGGCCTGGGCGCGATTGTTTCCCGCTGCGGATGCCAAAGCATTGGATCTTTTAGAACAGATGTTGGCTTTCAATCCCAGCAAGCGTGTCACCGTGGAAGACGCACTGAAGCATCCGTACTTGGAACTGTATTACGATCCAATGGATGAACCGGTGGCGGAAGAGCCGTTTACCTTTGAAATGGAACTGGATGACCTGCCAAAAGAACGGCTCAAGGAAATGATTTGGGATGAAACGATCACGTTGAAAAGGAGAATGGGATTGTTATAACAGATTGGAGTGTTTCGTTTTATTCAGGTTCTCATCGAAGAGTAGTGCATGGTTTTTTTAAAAAAAGTTTTTTGGTTTGATCAGTTTTGTGTAAGAGTATCGGTTACAGGGGCATATGTTTAATTTTTTATACCGATGTTTAATCGCGGTAATTTTTTACGATCAACGTGAACGTGCTGTTGACGTTAATATATCATTATTTTATTCAACTTTTAAGCTTTTATACATTTTTGTGGTCCAAATGTTGTTTTTTGTGGATCGGCTTTTTGGTGTTGCTAAATACGTTGCTTTGCGCTGAGATCGTTGCTAACTACGGTAGCTTCAACGATTTCTAGTAAAAGTGGAAGATTCGGGTATGGTAACTTTTCTGTCGTTCTTTTGCATAGTCGAGGGGTTGCAGTTAGGAAATAACTGGTCCCCCTTTTCTGCACACCCCGTACAGCCAACCACATGCATTGCTACGGATGACAAATATATATGGTTGCGTCGATCTGCTCTCCTGGGGGCCGAATGTATGTCGCTTCTTGAATTAATGAATTACGCCCAAAATTAGAAATAGCAAAGGCAATTCCGGTTAGCGCAGCGGAGGTAGTTGAAAGGCTGGAGTCGGCTGGACGACTTTGTTTGACCAGTGTCCAGCCGAGAAATGCCATTAGGGTGTGTCATTGGACATACTGTACATCCAGATATTGGAGAACTAAAACATCTCTGATTGACGATGTGGCATAGGGATTGCACGTTTGTGTTTAGTACATTTCAGTTGCTGTTGTGCTGAAGTTAAGTTGATTTGGATGTAACAAGTCGCTCTTCCCTTACGCCCCCCCCCCTTCTTCTGTGAGGCGACGGGGTTGTTTTTAGCAAGGACGACGGGGCCGGTGCATAATAATAAGGCAATTTTCCAGCCGCCTTTATAAGCCTTAGGGGCGCATCCACAGAAAGTCGTCCAATTAAATCTGCTGCATATACATTTAATCTGGATGCACTCACCATCAGTACTAATGCCTTGCTAATGCTTATCACTTTTATGATTGCGGCGAATCAAACGAAAACTAATATTAATACTGAATTTACAATTTTGAGCGGTTGCCACTTTTTATAGTTTTTATTTTTATTAACGGTTGCTCGCGCTTAGTACCTTTTGTTAGTTGATTAACTTGGGGAACAGTTGAGAAAAACTTCTCCTTAAAGCCTCTAAATTCTCTCATCTATTTAACGTCTTGTCCTCGATCGTTTCTGAAACTGCATGCAAATTCCAGGAAGTAATGTATGTGTGTGCACCTGCGGCGCAATGGACTGTAACACACAAATGACACAATCGGCTAAGAAGGCTCTGTGTGTTGGAGTAATGGATTCTGATTTCCTAGAAAAATCAAAATGAAAGAGATATTAGTAGCTTACAACTACTGGTCGTCCTCGTACCCGACGTACTGTCAACAATGCACGGCATGTCTGAAACGGTTGTAGGCGGCAGTATAACCGTCCAGATAAAAATCCTGATTCGAGCACGGACCTCACATTTCACAATATGAAAAATGCTGTGCGGGCAAAAAAACCAACGACGGACAGTTTTGACGATTTAACGGCAAAAGCGGCCGTCGGACAAGTTATCCGTTCGCATAGATGACTACCTGAGCAGTCCGGCGAAAGCTGGACGTGCCGGCGACAGTTGGAAACGGGTTGTTATCTTTTCTGTACTCGTATAACAAGGGATACGTACCGTTACAGCAGAACTGAAGCTTCATTCTGATATCTGTAAGTCTGTAAACGCTGATCACATGTTTTTTAGTGATCAACTTCCTCTATCTTTCCATTTAATAAGGAGTGTGTTCTTCCCGATAAACAAAATGTCTGGCTAATTTTTAGGTTGGTAATGCATGAAAAAAAATTCATCACTGGTGTTTTTTTGTATGCAGAGAGGTATGTTGTAAATTGAAAATTCGATCTTAATCGTCTTCGTTTTATAGTGATTGAGTTAAAACCATTGATTACAAATAAGTTCTAAATAACACATGTACACCTCTTTACAGAAAGAACGGAGTGGTCATTGGGAGCACCGTCATGGATCCACTCGAGCCTAAAACATTTTCATATTCTAAACCTGAAAAATCTAACTACGGTGCGATGTACCTGTCAAGCCGAGGTGGACTTCCGCTTTGTGACGCGCAAATAACGGCAGGATCGTCACTACTACAGGTACAAAAAGTAATATTACAGATGGACCCGCATCAGTCAGACGCATGCTGATTATATATATACTGTACATACAAAAGATCACGTGTTATTAAACGCTTTCACATTATTTCTGAAGTTTTTTGCATGTACATATAGTTTGATACTTCGCTTGGAAAAACCTTAAAGCTGACTCACTTTTACTTTCGATTGCGCGGTACGTGATGGCAGTTGTGCGCAATGTCCGATTGTACATGCGCGCAATGCTTCAGCCTGGAATCGACGAGAAGTTTAATTATGAAAACACTGTGAAATGTAAACTCATGATTATCGCTGTTAATTAACGTTTTTATTATTGTATAGAGTAGGGAATAATACTTCTGTCGATATTGTACAATGTTTCTGTAGCAAACAAAAATGCTCTCTGGCCTTCCAGAGCTGGAAGTTCTAAGTTGATCAGTTGGTGGGTTACCTCATAAATGTGTGTGTTGTTGGGCAGGTTACAGCCGGACAAACCTTTAACGGTGAGACGTGATCATAAACGAAAAATAAGCATTTATTATAACTATGATGCCCGACTTCTGCGATTGTTACATTTGTCGGTTTACTCGGTTATCGCTTTGCCGCAGTGGGACCGCGTTACACGAATTTGCACTGCATCGGCGAAGGATCATACGGTATGGTTGTTTCCGCTGTCGACACCCTTAAGTCGTGATCGGGACAATGCCAGAGTGGCAATAAAAAAGATTTCTACCTTGGAACACCCGATCAAGTGCCAGCGGACACTGCGGGAAATTAAAATTCTTAACCGTCTCAAACATGAGAACATCATCGACATTAAAGACATTATACCCGGTCCCACGATGGACCAGATGCAGGAAGTGTACATTGTTCAGACACTGATGGAGACCGATCTGGAAAAATTACTGAAAACAGGCCGTCTTCGGCAGGATTACATTTCCGCTCTTTTATATCAGACCCTGCGCGGGCTGAAATATATTCATTCGGCTAATGTATTGCACCGCGATTTGAAGCCGAGCAATCTTCTGTTGAATGTGAAAGCGTGCGATCTGAAGGTAAATACTTGCGCAAAATTACTAACTATAATATATAGTAATTATCTAATTTTGGAAAGTACGAGTATATGTATATGTATTGTGTTTGACTGGCTTCTGTGTAGCCGGAATTCGTAAATACCAAAATGTTTGCTATATTTTTCCTGCAAAACTTTACAAGCTACAACCCACATTTGCAGGCTGCAACAAACTCGCAGCACACAACTGCAGCTACATGTGAGTGTTTTTCCCAGATTTGTGATTTTGGTTGGGCTCGGGTGGATCCCACACTCGAGCGTGGCGGCGTTTTGACAGAGTATGTTGGGGCCAGATGGTACAGAGCGCCGGAAACGATGTTGAATTCTCGAGGTTACACCAAAGCGAGTACGTAAATTAATTAATGTGGTTGTCCCAACTTGTCGGCATCCAATTCTGTTTCCGATTCGAATGGATTATTTCGTTACATTAGTTAATGCGCCGGTCATTTTGCTTTTTAGTTGACATCTGGTCAGTGGGATGCATTTTTGCGGAAATGATATCCAGTCGCCCAATTTTTCCTGGAAAGCATTGTAAACGATATTCAGTAGAGAAAATTCTTCAAGATTGTATCAGTAAAAATCTACAATCTGTATTTATCTCGTATTATACACATATTCATTTCACATTGGAAGCATGACTGCCTTGTACAGATCTGGACCAGCTCAACCACATACTGAACACAATCGGTACTCCTTCCGCAGAAGATCTGGACACTATCCATAACGATCGAGTTAGTGCTATCGTAATTTAAGCTTGAATCTGTTGTAATTGTTGACTACTATTAAATTTATTGTAATTTGCTACTGGGTAAGCTTGAATCTTGAACCATACCATCAGTACTTCCTGAAATTTCAGGCTCGATCGTATATCAGAAGTCTGCCACCAAGAAGGCGACAAGCGTGGACCAAGCTTTACCCTAACGCCGCCTCTACAGGTATTCTGAGCTAGGCCTTTTTGGCACATCACTTGACAGCTTTCGCTGAATAAGGAAGGAATCAATTAAGGAAGTGTGATATCTTGGTGCGAAATAGATTACCTAATTACGTGTTAGAAGAGAAGTAGTAACAACAGCGGTTGATGGTAGTAACAATAGCGGGCTCTCCTATTGGTCGGTTTGGCCTGAGTACCGCCCCCATACACTGTAGGGTATACGAATAGCGGATTATGGTCTGTGCACTGTACTGTATATACGTACAAATCAGTTTGGTCTGATGGTGTGTACGAATAGCGTACAGACCATCTACTGTGTACAATAGCGTACAGACCATTTAACCTGTGCTGGATGTACTGTGTACAACAGCGTATTGGTCGGTTTGATCTGTATACCGCCTACAATCTACTGTGTACAATAGCGTACAGGCCATGTACTGTGTACAATAGCGTACAGACATACTGTACTGTAAACGAATAGCGTACAGACCATTTAACCTATTCTAGCTGTACTGTGTACAATAGCGTATTGGTCGGTTTGATCTGTATACCGCCCTTATAACGTAATCTTATTAATACACTAGTGTGATTACGGTTTGTACTGCCTGCTCTATAACCATCGGACAAAGGGCAGTCGTGTTTTTACCACGCTCAAGTGTAATTGCTGTCTCGCTGAAATCAACTTGACTGCGGTTGTACTACATTTCCTGGACTGGCCTGTCCATCGATGCATGATTGTTCCACCCTTTGTTAATTAGCGTATACGTTAATTAAGTGTAATTACAAAAGACCTGTCTGCCTAAAATAATTGGACTGCTGGCTGGAGTATACCGCCTATCTATATACTCGTATCATATGTGCCGTGCAGCCACAGTACAAATTTAAGAGAAAACAGAGAGACCACTTACATTTGCTCGTCATATACGACTCAATCGTGTTTTTGGCCTGCAGTTTGAAAATATGAGCCAGTCGTCACCATTCTGAGCCGACAGTTTTGTTGGAAATTTCATTCTCGTTCGAGTGGTATAAAAAGCGGTACAATCGTACAAAGAAAAACACAACCGTGCGTAGTCTATTAAGTTGGTCTGAAGCCCATCAGCTAGGTTGGTTCACATTAGCGCTTTAGTCACTATGCGCAGCTGAAAACCACAGCAAGCTGTACAACCATTACCGCACCGTTTATACTTGTACAGTAACAAAGTTTTCGGTATCCAATTACCTTTTTGGTAGTAACGGTGAATCATATATAGAAACCATGAATATTGGGAGACGACTATGGGAAAATTAATAATCCGAAGAATGTTGTGCTGTCCGGTTGCTTATATACTGTAATATTACTAAATGGGTACGTGTTTCTAATGCACTGTACATAATTTTATCGAAATATATAGTACGGGCTGCCTGCATACTGTACATAAATTTTCCTTTGCGTGGATGACTGACTTTGTTATATAAGGTTTTGCACAGGCCCCGCACGAATGAATATTGCCCGATGACTATTAAAATATATGCAATTTCAAGCATGTGTTGCCCTGCGGTCGCTTACAGACTGTCATAATATTAATAAACCCGTACGTGTGTTTAGTAATATTGCGATACACTTTACCTATCGAAACACGGACTGTCTTCTTTGTTCATACAGTATATAACTTGCAATGATGACTAACGTGATGATGCCTAACGTGTAAAGTTACATGCATTTGGACTTTATATTGTACTCCTACTTATGGGTAAATATTAGCCCAGATATTTCTACTGTTCTTGGTCAAGTTGTGTTAGAATAGTTTGCGTTTCTCACTGCGTCCATGGTGACAAGCTTTCGATTGGTCACTGGACCTGGACAAGTAATTTCGGCAAAAAGTCAACAGTCTTGAATCCACCGCTACAGCTAGAGATTTTTGATGTACTTTAAAGTAACAAAATTGGTGAAGTAAAAGCTGAGATCCTTTGCCTCAAAAAGAGAGGGGCCGTAGTCCTTGGCATAGATACTTAGTAGTCATATAACCAAGTACGGTGCTATTACTTAATTCATGTAGAAGTACTTTAATTCGTAGCACATTCTAAAAAGTACCGATTTGGCGTGCAGGAGTTAAACTTTTACGTAGTTTTCCAAGTCGCAAACGTGTAGTTTTCCAATTTACTTTCTCCATAGACTTAACATGTATTGGTGTTCGTTTTCGTGCACTTTTCCGATTGAGTTTTTGGTAATTTTTTGAATGCATTGCTCCTCTAACGAAAACTCCCGTATTTATTTCGAAGAAAAAGCAAAAAACCAAGAGCTATTCCTGCAAAGTGTGACAATATACACTTCAACACGTACATTACAATGGCGTGCACTTGTTCCAGTGGATCGTACTTTGAAGGAAAGATTGTAAGTAACTACAGTTGTGAATAACAAGAACCGGCAAAATGGTATTATATAGAAGCATGAATTTTAGGTCAGCACCGATTTATTAAACCGGTGCTTGTTCAGTCACACCGGAACGTCCGCTCCGCTAGCAGGTTAGAGTGGAACATCTACAAATTTTCTACACTCTACTTTCTATGTTAATTTACACCTGCTCGCAGTAAAATTACATGTACTCGTACTGTTAATCATCGGCAACGGCAACTCCGGTAATAACAGCATTGTCTATTTTGTTTGCATTACTCATGGAAGCGAAGTAAGTCAAAATATCGATAATTACTACACAGACGAGTACGTAATTTGAAAGCTGACTGTTAGCTGCGGTCAGGAAAACATCGTGATGCAAAAATCTAGCTCCGGTATGTATGAACAGTTTAGTGGTCAAAAGATGTCCACGTTTTCCCGCAAGGCGGCGCAATGTTACTAGTTCTCGGATTATGTAGGCTAAACTGTCACTGTTTTACTGCTGATCGTAATACTAAATTAAATCATATTTGTGCTTATAATTGAACCAAGATGATGCATGCATGAAAAATCGTGCCTAATCGTGGTTTTGTTTCACCTTACCCTTAAGAAATTAAAGAAGCCGGCATGTACGTGCCGGATTTGAGATTGCTCTAGCGAGATCGATGCCGCTTGTTAACGTTAGTACATAAGTACGTACTTAACTGCGGCTGCGGACCATTCAGTACATGAAATCACCCTATAGTACTTGTACATCGTGCAAGCTGCCAGCCTGCAGGCTAATATTGCCCGGATTTCCTGGATAGAATAAGTACTACTAAATGTAACACGGATACCGTATCAAATTCATTCTCCCGCCATGGCAACGACAAATTAGCCTGTTTTGTCATTAAAGTATTGACTTTTGCTTATTGCGGGAAATATTTTCTGTTTTGTGTCGGCCCACGTACTTAGAAAACCAATAACGAGTACATCAGCAAGGAGCTGGTATCGATTACCGTCGAACGTTCTGCATCTGTAAGCCGTAACAGTTAACGGAAAGGTGCAAGCAGGGCGCTAACATTAACAATAACCAGTTTGCATCTGGCTTGCTGTTTGCTACGAAATTAATAAGTATGTGCCTGAACAGTAGAAACAAACATTTTGCTAGAATACACACAAGCTTCCTTATTGATAACCACTAAGAAACAAATAAAATAAATCGAAGAAGCCGTTATTTCAGGATTCCGGTGCCTAATAAGTTTTAATTGGTCTTCTGAAGCATCCATACGGCGGTGAAAGTTCACACCAATACAACATACATAAGTTAGCTACGCTAACTGGCTAACTCCATGCCGCGCAGTTTCGGTATTTACGATTTCTGACTTGATGGCGAACGTAACGTTACAAACATAGTACTGTACATCCTTGTACATCGTTATGATTAAAAAAATCAAATGAACTCGAGAAATGCGTACGTGCGAATAAATCGGCGCATTACAACGCCAGAGAAAGGTGTGTACCTTAGTGTCGAAAGAATTTTGATGTGAAAGTGGTGCTTTGATTGTGATTAACGCGAAGTGGCTAGCGAATTTTCAAAATAATTCCCAAAAATTACCTTAGCTCATCTTACAGAGCTTTTTTTATACTACATAACGCAATAATTGTAATGAGTATATCTTTTTTCGTTAACACGCAAAAAAATTAAGGCGGTACTAGTGGAAGAGGGGGGCGCGTAAGGTGAACCGCAAAATAATGGCTTGCACCGCACATATTGTGAGAGATGTCATATTCCTTCAATCGCCGCCGACATCAGTGGTTGGCATTGAAGTAATCGCAATCAGATGCGCTCAAAATCTTCAACTACCCCATCCAACTTTGTTGATCTTGTTGACAAGAAAGAGGTACAAAAGGCGCCATGAACGCAAATCTGCCGTCTGACTGCAGTCTTTTGTTTTAGTGACTATGACTGCAACAGTCTGCATGAATGTTATATGGCTGCCTGCCTGTTCTGCGTTGCTCAACATGTGCATGTGCTTTTGTGCGCGGCAGCCAGCACCTCTTGGTACCGGCACCAAAGCCGTGAAAGAGACGTACTTTTTGCCAGCTAACATTGAACAAAACGTAAAAAAAAACTTTGAAAATCAGCTGTAAATACATTTGTCTGTCAAAAATTACGGATAAAATCGCATTAAATAAAGCACCGCAGCCTGAGCTTATTATAGGGATAAAATCTCTGTTTAGGGTTTTGTTCGGCAGATATAGTCAGAACTATCCAGGGGTAGACTGCCCCAAGCACCTCTATAGCACCCCCGATTTTTTTTTCTTTTTCTGTTTTTATCAATCAAAATTCTGTCCGTATAATAAGTTTTTTAATACTTTACTCTATAAAAAAGCCGTTTCAGAATATTTTTTTCACGTCTGTACTCTGTAAAAATCGACTTCAAATTTTTCACTTTAAAAGCTAATTTCTCAGCAACAACAAATGCGTTACCATTATTCAACCACTTTTAAAGTATAAAAACCATTTCTTTATGTGTTATAGGCTACGGTTTTGTCTAAAAGTGTAGCGCGTCAACGGTATGCCCGTTTTCGCAGAAGGACCGAGTTGCTAGCCACTTCGCGTTAAAGGATTATGATTATTTGCTTTCATGACCTATTTGTCAACATGACCGCTGCTGACGGTTTGTCTAGCGTGATATCCATGTTGACCGAGATATCCGTGTGATGCGGCTGTTTTCCAGTGCATCCAGCGTCAGTTCCTGTTATCGTTCCAGTTTTTTCTTAGCGAATTTGGTTTCCAGTTCCAGTTCTTCTTTTTGCCTGCGAAAAGATCACATATTAGATAAATCATATTAGATAATCATCATAATCCAGACCCTAATAGCCATTCAGTATGCGAACGCTTAACGCCAGCGCATTAAGAGTGTCACTGCTTAATCATTGCTATTTTATTTTTTGTGGATACGCCATTTTGTGAATCGCATCGATTTACCTTACAGATCAATTATTTTCAAAATGTTGAGCCAGTTAATTAAAATATTCATATTAAGTAATTCCTTATTACATGCGCAACGCTGAACTTTATAGCCCCAAATTTTATTGATTCAGAATTGATTGTTTTCTGTGCAGGCTCGCCACGAAGACGTAAAAGATGTATAAACGGCATTACAGGTCCTTTTTCTTCATCAGTTACGGTAAATCATGAGCTGGTAAAAAGAGCAATTATTCCAGTATTCGGCTAGCTTTTTGCAAAAGTTTCAAGTAGGATAACCAGAATGCGCTTTTGCGTGGCCGATCCAATTATTGATTTAAGGTCATAGCGAAAAGAATATGCGTAACGCACACTCAGCAAACTAATAAATCCAATAAAACAATCGACGAAAGGGGTAGACCGACTAGTACATTTTACTGGCCATTAGCATTTTAATTTTCCAGTGGCGCATCTAGAACTTTTTTCACGGGTGGGCTAGCGAACCCTTTGTGAAATATTTTTATAGCGGTAAGAGATTTGTATCTGTTTTTGCCTTATTCCCGTTAATAAATGTAGTTCAAGTTCTGCATTCATCTCATTGCAAGCCTTTCGCGAACTTATCTCGTTTTAAGCGGGCGGGGTTACCGCTTCAAATTCACATTAGCTGACATTTTTCGCGCAAAGCGCGAAGTCAACAAACGATTTCGCTGAAAAAAATCGCTAGAAACTCTATTAAAAATAGTAAGTAATTTAAATTTTCTTGTAGCGAAAGCTACAGATCAGGAAAGGCTGCATCATGTATAAGTTTATAGTAAATATAAAGTTTTGCGCGAAGCGTGAAGCTGGCGCACGTTTTTGCTGTGTGATTTACTAAAAATTTATAAAAAATAGTTAAACTATTACAGTACGATTTTCTTGCGCGAGCACTTTTCGGAGCTTGGTTTATTTGAATAAATTAGTAAGGTGCACACATGCGTGTAATGTGGAATGTGATGTGCTAATAGTGCTTATACAGTATTTCGAGCAGGGACTTCAAGTTCATTTGCATATTTTATTTACGGGTACAATAAAATGCCATGCACTTCCGCGCCGAGCGCGAAGCTGACAGTCGGTTTTACTGCAAGAATAGAAATTCAGCGAAAAATAGTATTTTCTGGCTTTTTTTTTGCCACTGTTTAAAACAATAAACTAAATAAGTTACAAATTCACAAAAAGCTGCGATTATGCACGACTAAAACACAAGAGATGAAAAAGTGGGGAACGGTGTGCCTGCTATGTAACGTACTTCTCAGGTGGCTTGCTACTCACCGGCTGCTGCGGTCATCTTTCATCGGTTAAGTGTTACTGTATGCGTATGTGCCATTATGTATGCGCCATTTTACTGCCCAACAATGCGGAATTTACGCGACATTAATTATTTAGTGCAACACACTGTGTTTTCCTTTACCCAGTTGTTTAATGGAATAAATTTACGGCGGGCCGCCGTGTGTGCGTGCAGCGTCTTTTCAGCCTGTATGGGCGGGAAGCTGATCCTAATCGTTTTATACGTTAACTGCCACGCTGATGTCAATGATCGCCAGACTATTGGGTCGGCACGCAGTGTTGTGTTGAGGATGCGGATCCCATTCGGGGCAGCGCTGAGTTGGAGGCTTGTTGTAAAATATTGTTATGTCATGGTGAAACCATTAAGTCAGCTTGCTTTTCTCATCCAATTTTCCTTCCGACCATTTAATCGGTGGTTTCCTTAATTGCATTCTAACCAGCACTTGTGTGCGAAAATCACTACAACTGTTTCACCATGCAGTATAACTATGGGTGTTAAAACAGCGTGACCTTTGCTCGATCGATACAATAGCATAGAGTTTCATGATTCGATGGTACATCAAAATTAATTAATCTGGACTCCATGGTTTTTACACACATTCAACTACGAAATTTGCTTTATTATGTGCTCCAGCGAACTCTGTACTGCAAATTTACTAGGTTCAGTTCAATAATTTAATAAATCTAATATTCATATAGAGTACTTAAAGTTCTTTAATTGATGCAAAATTCTGTCATAATTAGAAAAAAAAACTGCAAATATCAGGGGGTCGCACTCATCGCCGCAGAATATAAAGCACGTCGCTGCGTGTTATCATACAGTACTCAAATGCAGGTTTCCTGCGTCGCAGTAATCCTACAATTCCTATCTGTGCAGCAAGCAAACTTCCCGGTGTTTTTAATATAAAGTATGCTTCTATGTATTACGCACAAATAGTTCGCATATACTTGTCAATACACAAAACTAATATAATGTATAATCGTTTTATGGAACATCATTCCTTAAATAAGGCAGCAGTCATAGGCTGAAGGTGACAAAGCAGTTCACGTCAATATTGCACACTAATTCTTTGTACAACAAGTTCGCATGTGATCAAAGTATTTAACGCTTTCAAAACCGCTCAAAAACGCAGTTTACCGCTATTTGTACAGTTTAACAGAAATTTTCCACATGCTATGTATCGTGTACCGTGCATACATGAATGCTTGTATCAAACTGTGATTTTTTGTTCCTCATGTTCAGGGAATATTATTAGTACATGCAGATGCAAATCATTTCGTTGTAAACCGCACGTGGTGGATTTCTGTCAGGGTCACGAAAAGCGCACTTGCAAATAAAATAATCATCATCATGGCAACTTATAAATAATGTTCTTAAGGAAAGTAGATTCTTATAGAACATGACCCAGAAATGCAGACAAGCTGTGAACATTTTGAAACCACGTCGCTTCTTTTGAAAAATAAGACACTTTCAATATTTATGTTGCATATTTCATGCTCTTTCTTTATTTTTGCACTTACTCCATGCTACAGTAGGCAGTTATTCATCTGGTTAGTACAGATACACACTAAGTTATGCATTGTATTAATGATCCTATCATCGCACACTCTTTGTGAGGTTACCTGTACTGTAATTGGACGGCTTGTTCTATTCACAGTCTTATAGTTAGCGTTTACTGGTCAGCTCCGCCTGTCGACAAACGAGAACAACTTTTCTGTATGGTGCATGTGCTGACATCGAGACCATCATTTTTGTGGCAACGCACACGTTGTTTTTGTTTAACTATCATCATTGTCAATTTAGTTTGCAGCCAGCATTTTATACGATTTGAGTAAAAATGTCTCGAACAATTCGTATGATTGTATGGCAGCTCTTTCGACTGGCTACCGTGGAACAGGGCGACAGCTACGTCTCGCGCCGGGAGGCGTTAGCCCGGGTTCGCGAGCGAGCTGGCAAGAAAATTACTCGGGAGTCTCTGTATAAAGCTCTTAAGGCGCTCTTTCCGTTGGTATTCAGGGGAGATGCTACGAAATATCTGGAAGGTGGACACCCACGTAGAATCAGACGTCTTGTTGTTCGTACGCCGCACAGATATGCACGGCCAGTTAACCCGCCAAAGGTAAGGTTCTTTTAAGACTTTAATCGCCCTTTTTGAAAGCGGAAATTCTAGGTTGTTTACTTAGCTGGTTTTTATGTTACACTATTTTTAGAATAAACATAATTTAATTATTCTTTTTGTGAGAGCAGTGTTGAGTAATATTGTTCGTAGGTGTATCAACCGCTGCCTGCCCCATCATTGCCATCGGAATATCAGCCGTTGCCTCTCGCACCATCACCGTCGCCAGATCAACCGCTGCCTCTCCCACCATCACCATTACCTTCGGCATATGAACCGCTACCTCTTCCCCCATCACCATCGCCATCGGTGGAAGAGATCTGGTGTTCCTTTCCCCTTGTCCGCGCTCAGCCGGTGGCTGCCACGTCGGCTTCGACACCGGCAGATCACAGCCTTCACCCGGAGACCGTGGCAACCACGTCGGCTTCCACGCCGGCTGACTGCGATCCGCTCCCGGAACCCGTGGCAACCACGTCGGCTTCCACGCCGGCTGACTGCGATCCGCTCCCGGAACCCGTGGCAACCACGTCGGCTTCCACGCCGGCTGACTGCGATCAGCTTCCGGAACCCGTGGCGTCTACGTCGCACTCCACCCCGGCTGACCACAATCTGCACCCGGAGCCCATGGAGTCACGCTCAAGCCCGACACCGTCCACTCCGAGTCGATCGCGATGGATGGACTGGGAATGGCAGCATTGGACAAGCCTTATCCGGCGATCGTTCTCCTTGTCGCCAGAGTACCAACCACAGCCCCCCGTGGTAGATTCGCCTGACCGTACAGCAAATTTGCCTGACCATCCAGCCCGCCGCATCCGTCCAGACCGCCACCGTGTCCGTGTTGAGCGCCGCCGCCCCCGTCCTGAGCGCCGCCGCCTCCGTCCAGCCCCTTCCCCCGACCGTCCGCGCGCCGAGCCGGAAGTTCGTGCTTCGCCGCCAGTGCAGCCAGTCCGTGCTTCGCCGCCAGTGCAGCAATTCCGTGGTCAAAACAACGTGGCCGCTTGCGCCGTTTACACTTGCAACCTGGGTGAGATTCTGGCAGAGAATGGTCATCTCGCCGCACTGATTTGTGGCCATGTGTACTGCGAGAATTGCATTAGTCAAATACCTAAGAAACCGGGTAAACGTAACCCGGAATGCCCGGCTTGCAGTCGGGTGTTCCTTAAAAGATCCTGTCGACGACTGTTTATCAATTAAAATTGTTCGGTTTCAAGGTTTTCTGGTTTGCTTGTTGGTGTGTGTCTTCCTTTTTTTGTTTTAAAATTCCTTAATAACATTTCGGTTTCAATATTCTTTTTGTTTTGTAAAAACAGCGCAGCGGAGCTGTAGAAAAATGCGCCCCCCATTTATTGTTTATGATCACTAATAAATCATTTGCCCATCAGCCTTACGTCAGTTATGTAACTAACGACATTGAAACGATACAATATATATATAAAAGTGTAGCACAGTATCGACCATAAAAACAGTTTAACACAAAAATTACGCACTCTCCTGTGTACTACCAAAAGAAATCACCCCATCAGCGATGGACAAAAACTATTAAGAAACCGATATATTTTACGGTATGTCATATAATTCCAAAAATACATCACTACAATGGCGCGCCGGTTAGTTTAACGCGGCCGTTATCATGCTTGTACGTAGTATCAAGAAAAAAGTCAGAAGAAATCAAAGAATCTTGTCATAGGTCGATCGGCATTCTATGACTGCCTACATTTTTTTTTACAGTTTTGAACACCCGAGAGTGTTTGTGCAGTGTACGAGTACATGAAAATACAATAAGGTGAATATAACTGTTGATACTTATATTATCTGTATGTAATTATTATTGTGCAGATATCATACCTATTTTTCACTATGAACAAACCAGATTGCGTGTACACACTGAAGTACCTCAATAAATCCAGTAGTATATGTTTTCACATGTTTACTCAAAAATACGATACCAAATATGATTGTGATGAAGGATAACACATCACATTATAATAGAATAACTCACTATTTGTAATGGACAATCACGCTGCGCAGCAAATGCATCACATTACAATAACTGAACTCAGCATATGTAATGGATACGTACACTGTGCAGCAGGTTTATGTTTCATAGCGGTTGCTGGTTTTGTGTCACAGCGAGTATACGTATTACGTTATCTGTGCTAAATAAAACCTGTGCTGTAATCAGTGCATCCAACGGTTGTTAGTGCGATATGACGACTAGTTCTGAGACGCAGCGCCGATGTATACAGCAGTTGTGCGTGCGGATTCGACGCCACGGCACAGTTTGAGATTGTGTCGCGTCGCTCACAGTGGGGAAGCAGAGCATCAAGCGACCAGTTAAGGTCATTAAGTTCTCATATACGTGCGTTTATGGGACTCACACTGTCTTCCAGCCGCAGCCTGCACTAATTACGGAGCGGTAATAGGTGATCGGTTTACTTTATGTGATGCAAACTAGCTGTGACGCTAGATAATTTCATCTGATATTTTAACATTTAGTAATGGATTACTATATCCCGGCTCTCAATCAAGGTCGGATCAGTCAAAAAATCACTGCGAGGTATTCAATAACCGTGTTGCTACTCTCCCGCGATGCATTTACCGTGATGACTGCAGCGTGGCTGCTCAGTGCACTAACTGTCTAGTGCAGTAATAAAAGACAAATCGAGTACATATTTTTTCCTTCAATTGTCAACAGCACACTCGCTAATGCGGTGTGATTTCGGCTCTACTGTGTCATAAACTGAACCGCGAAAGCACCGCGGTCTGTGCTCTTTCTACTTCTACAATATACGGTACACGAAACGAAAGCAAACCTCCACCGGGTGGCAAGGCGGTTGTCAAGAAGGGCACAGTCAACGGGCACTGCGTGACGGCTTCAACACTGCGTCAACATCAGCGAATGCCGAATCAACTACGGCCGCTGCGTGCCGCACTCGCGATGCCATGGTACATTCTGACCGGCTTAGGGTATCTGACACCAGTGCAGCAATTGATGCTTTTATACGGCATAATGCTGAAAGACGTAATTATTATTCCTGTGTTCGTTATTGTGTAACCTTTGTTTCGCAAAATTTGTCGGAGAGTTTTGAAAAATTTGCACAGACGATTGTTACAGATTGTTGTTTATCATTATTGACTGCAGTACCAGTCAATGTCGTTGAATTGGAAAACTGCTTTGTTTGCTCTGAATATAAACAAACCGTACTGCTGGCGAATATGCTGGACCACAATAACTACGTATAATGTACAGATTATTACCACTTGAAGTATATCAAGTAGAAACTGCCATTTTTCATGTATTTACAAATACGTTACATTAGACTAAGCAAACTGACTGGCTAAAAGGTCGCCCTAGCTATCAAGATTCAGATCTATATTGCCACGAATGGGATACACCAGCGCCGGCAAACCAGAAAAGACTGACCAAAGCAATATTATATTCTGAAAGCCCGTAGTCGAAAACCCGGCCAGATAGTATTCATTTCTTTTAAAACCTCTCCCGTTTCGAGCGCCAAAGCGGAAGATCTTTGACTACCTTTACCAAATGAAACTAAATTATTATAATAATAATTATCATCGTGATATTTTTAACCAGGCAATGTTGCCACGTAAACCAAATAAAATATAGTTAAAAAATTAAAGTATTTTCCACAAATTAAAATATCAGAATGAATTAAATTAGCAGACCGTTATTGCGACAAGAACGACTATATATCCAACGTTGTCATCGAGGACAATTTCTAAACGAGTGCCGGCCGAGCAGCGATAGACCGAACTACCGCCACTGTTCAGTGTACAACCCCGTTAGTTCAGCGAGTGACCAAAATACCACTACATTCTAGTTAAAATAGCCCGATAAGCCAGTGAGTGACCGAACTCCCACTATGGATAGCTAAGTGAGCGGTTGACCGAGCTGTCATTACTGTCGATGCCGAGTGACCAAGTGAACGAGTGACCGAGTTACCACTACTTTTCCGTGCTAAAAGCCCGTTAGGGAACGAATGACCGAGTTACCACTACTGTCCGTGCACAGAGCCCGTTAGGTCAGAGGGTGACCGAGCTACCACTACTGTCCGGCGCAGAAAGCCCGTTCAGTGAACAAGTGACCGAGTTACCACTACTGTCCGGTGCACAGAGACCGGTAGGTGAGCGGGTGACCGCGCTGTCACTACTGCCAAGGGAACAAAGCCCGTTCGGTAAAGGAGTGACTGAGCTACCACTACTGTCCGTGCACAAGAGAGCCCGTTACGGAACGAGTGACCCAGTTACCACTACGGTCCGATGCAGAGAGCCCGGTAGGTGAACGAGCGACCAAGCTGTCATTATTGTACAGTGCACATGAGAGACCGAGCTACCACTACTGTCCGGCGAACGGAACCGGTTATATAAGCAAGTAATCGAGCTACCACTACTGACCGGACATACACCACTGGGCACACACTACTTTCCAGTGAAAAGAGTCAGTGAAGTGACGAGTCACCGAACTAGTGATCCAGTGAACTATCACTGTTTCGAATTTCACACCTTATAGACTGATATTTCGGCTTTCTTTTCGGGTAGGGGATATCGTAAAATTATCTGTATGTACAGCCAAAGGGAATGCTTTCAAGGTTGAGAGAATCATGAGCTAATTTTCATACAAAATTCGTGTTTGCCCTATTGTATCTACCGATCATGTTTCGACGAAATATAGATGTTAATCTAATAAATATTCATTCAAATTCAAATAAAATGGCCATGGACCACAAGAAACGCGGAGGCGAAGCCAAGGCTGTTTCTTGTACATCTGTATAGGCCCACGTATAAATATCCTCTACAAATTGCACTATTCTGAACTCTGAAGGTTCTTGAAAACAGGACCTTGCTTACACGTAAGTTTTTGCAGTTGGTTCAGGTTATTTGAAAAACACAAACGATCAGTTGCGTACCGAAGCTGGAATATCCATGCAAATTGCAATGTGTGTATTGCAGCTTAAAGCTTATATGCACAAATGACAAGTACAAACTGCAACACATTTCTCAGCTTTCTGTCTGACAAGATGAGTTGCATTTACGTGTTTGTACAAAGAAATAATGTCATTATCACAACCAGTGTTTAAACTGTCATGAAACTGTCCCATTTTGCGCACCTTTCTGGCTTATCAACCTAACACAACGAACGTATGGTACATCACGGATTTCCGCCAGTTGACTTGTGATCCACTGATATCTGTCGACAAAGTCAGCGTCGACGCATAAGAGCGCATTACATTTATATGCAGACGTTTGTGACTGAATGCTTATTTCGAATTGCTCTCTTTACAGTACAAGTATCAAAAACAGGTAAAACACAAGTTTTCGAAGTTATGTCTTGTATGCTACCGACTAATTCTTAATTATTCAGGCCTTCGTCGATCTCAACGGCAATATCTGTATTCGCGTCCTTTAACATTGTGTCGGATACTATATGCTTATACATTCTTTCGCAGTGGAAAAACCCTGTACCGGCTGCCGTGACCGCAAACGTCGCTACCTGCGTTTTACAGTTGATATACGGGATTACGTTACTGAGCATTAGCGCCGTTACTATCTTCTACGATAACGCTAACACGCCCACCTGGATTTCTTATGTTTTCCCCATCGCAGCAACATTTCTTCAAACTTGCTATAGTACTTCGCTGCTATGCGCCATCACCGATCGATGGATCAGCATAGAATTTCCTGTGTTTTATACCAGACATATTTCTCATCGCTTCGTAATTCTTGCTAACATAATAAACATTGCATTTAATTTGACTGCGTGTGCGATAATGTTTTCAGCTGGTCGAAATGAATTAGATTTTTCTTCGGGAATGGGTTTAATGATTGTCTGCTTACGTGAACCGTGGTGGATTGGCTACAACGCGGTATATTACGGTTCCAGTTCTTTTCTAACCTTGACCTTTCCGCTTCGTGTTCTCGTACTGGCGGCACAAGCGCGTCGTAAACGGAACTTCAGCGATAAAAATACTGCAGCTTCAATCCTTAAATCTACAAGTGTACGGGCAATAGTGGTGGAAGCGATTACCGCATCCATACGTTTTCTTATCATGATTGTTCTGAACATGAGTTTTCCGACAATGGTGGCATTATGGTATATTGTAACCGGCATCGGTTATTTGACTCAAGAGCAACATTTGATTCTCATGTACTGCTCTATGGTCAAGAATGTTCTTATTATCGCGGTCTTGTTCCTCATATATCCTCCGTTTCGCAAAATATCATGGAATGTCTGCACTCGAATTTATGGTGCCCTGGACAAACATTTGCCATTGCTCTTCCAAACCAAAAAAGGAACGTAACTCTGTTTAAACGTTTGGAGCAACGCATATAATCGACCTTTGCCGTAATTTTGTTTTGGGCTTTGATTTCCATGGATGTATTACGTAGTGCTGTCTCATGTTTTCTCATTTGTTACATGGTTTATTTGTGTGTTCTTTCGTTATAAAGTATATACTCCGTACATGCTTCCAAAGTACAACACTTACGTTAGTGCCCGTGTATTAATTTTCGGTAACATCGCTTTACTGTGCGCAGTTCGTCTGTCTTATGGTTAGTTCCTTTTCAATTATTTTATGCGTCTAATGTACGAAAGCGCTGTATGAATGTTTCTCATATAAAAAAACCCTTCCGCTTCTCGTATGTTATGTCTAATAATATTCACCATTTCGGAGGTACGTACTGTGTATTTTAAAGACCCAGTACGAGTACCGTTTTGTGCTGCCTTGTTTACTGGCTAATATTGGTACTTTTTGGGGCTAGTACTGACATTATGCCCGAAGCAAAAATTACCTGCAGAGCAAAACTTTAAATTATGGATTTGGTACCAGATCTCTTTGAAAACGTTGCCGCTGTTTGTGATGAAAGGAGCTCTGAAGGCGAAAGCTATCGTAGAAATGCTCTAGCTTAACACGGCTGTGGAAGTCATTAGTCGTGTTGAAGCAAAATTGAGGAGTTTACGCTGTGTGAGGTTTAAATCAGTTTTACAAACTAACTTTACGAACGATATGCCTCGGACAGCTGGTTGTCTTCTTGTAGGAATGCTTTGCGCAGGTAAAAATTAACCATATTGCAATAATTACTGAGAATACTTCCTTTTTTTGATACTGGCCAATACGGTTCCGCATAATATTGTATCAGTGTTCCCGTACTCTGTTGACTGTTTCCGCACAAATGCCAAAATAATTTTATACAATAACAAACCTAACTATGTGTTTGTAATACTTGTACAAGTATAATAGTTGGTATAGCGGCTAGAAACTGTATGGCCGGAAAACTGTATGCACTGGTTTATTAGTAGCACGTATCAAAATTTAATAAATTTTTTAAAACGTACAAATTTGATTTAATTACTTAAGTTTAGAGTCAAGACAACACTGTTGCAAAATTTATGCCAGGCAATAGTTACACAAATTGCGGCGGCGCTTTGCAGTTAACATATCATTGTACACCAATTGTAATTATGATGCTTCCGAAAGAACGTTAGAGTTTACTGGCTTAGTGGCGCGTAGCTGTCGTTGATAATTACTGTTCTTGTATCCTCCTGGGAATTTGTTGACAGCGAATTGCCATGATAATTTCATGACAAAAGATAACGCCGCCTTGCGGGAAAACGTGGACATCTTTTTGACCACTAAACTGTTCATACATACCGGAGCTAGATTTTTGCATCACGATGTTTTCCTGACCGCAGCTAACAGTCAGCTTTCAAATTACGTACTCGTCTGTGTAGTAATTATCGATATTTTGACTTACTTCGCTGCCATGAGTAATGCAAACAAAATAGACAATGCTGTTATTACCGGAGTTGCCGTTGCCGATGATTAACAGTACGAGTACATGTAATTTTACTGCGAGCAGGTGTAAATTAACATAGAAAGTAGAGTGTAGAAAATTTGTAGATGTTCCACTCTAACCTGCTAGCGGAGCGGACGTTCCGGTGTGACTGAACAAGCACCGGTTTAATAAATCGGTGCTGACCTAAAATTCATGCTTCTATATAATACCATTTTGCCGGTTCTTGTTATTCGCAACTGTAATTACTTACAATCTTTCCTTCAAAGTACGATCCACTGGAACAGAGCACGCCATTGTAATGTACGTGTTGAAGTGTATTTTGTCACACTTTGCAGGAATAGCTCTTGGTTTTTTGCTTTTTCTTCGAAATAAATACGGGAGTTTTCGTTAGAGGAGCAATGCATTCAAAAAATTACCAAAAACTCAATCGGAAAAGTGCACGAAAACGAACACCAATACATGTTAAGTCTATGGAGAAAGTAAATTGGAAAACTACGTAAAAGTTTAACTCCTGCACGCCAAATCGGTACTTTTTAGAATGTGCTACGAATTAAAGTACTTCTACATGAATTAAGTAATAGCACCGTACTTGGTTATATGACTACTAAGTATCTTTGCCAAGGACTACGGCCCCTCTCTTTTTGAGGCAAAGGATCTCAGCTTTTACTTCACCAATTTTGTTACTTTAAAGTACATCAAAAATCTCTAGCTGTAGCGGTGGATTCAAGACTGTTGACTTTTTGCCGAAATTACTTGTCCAGGTCCAGTGACCAATCGAAAGCTTGTCACCATGGACGCAGTGAGAAACGCAAACTATTCTAACACAACTTGACCAAGAACAGTAGAAATATCTGGGCTGATATTTACCCATAAGTAGGAGTACAATATAAAGTCCAAATGCATGTAACTTTACACGTTAGGCATCATCACGTTAGTCATCATTGCAAGTTATATACTGTATGAACAAAGAAGACAGTCCGTGTTTCGATAGGTAAAGTGTATCGCAATATTACTAAACACACGTACGGGTTTATTAATATTATGACAGTCTGTAAGCGACCGCAGGGCAACACATGCTTGAAATTGCATATATTTTAATAGTCATCGGGCAATATTCATTCGTGCGGGGCCTGTGCAAAACATTATATAACAAAGTCAGTCATCCACGCAAAGGAAAATTTATGTACAGTATGCAGGCAGCCCGTACTATGTATTTCGATAAAATTATGTACAGTGCATTAGAAACACGTACCCATTTAGTAATATTACAGTATATAAGCAACCGGACAGCACAACATTCTTCGGATTATTAATTTTCCCATAGTCGTCTCCCAATATTCATGGTTTCTATATATGATTCACCGTTACTACCAAAAAGGTAATTGGATACCGAAAACTTTGTTACTGTACAAGTATAAACGGTGCGGTAATGGTTGTACAGCTTGCTGTGGTTTTCAGCTGCGCACAGTGACTAAAGCGCTAATGTGAACCAACCTAGCTGATGGGCTTCAGACCAACTTAATAGACTACGCACGGTTGTGTTTTTCTTTGTACGATTGTACCGCTTTTTATACCACTCGAACGAGAATGAAATTTCCAACAAAACTGTCGGCTCAGAATGGTGACGACTGGCTCATATTTTCAAACTGCAGGCCAAAAACACGATAGAGTCGTATATGACGCGCAAATGTAAGTGGTCTCTCTGTTTTCTCCCAAATTTGTACTGTGGCTGCACGGCACATATGATACGAGTATATAGATAGGCGGTATACTCCAGCCAGCAGTCCAATTATTTTAGGCAGACAGGTCTTTTGTAATTACACTTAATTAACGTATACGCTAATTAACAAAGGGTGGAACATTCATGCATCGATGGACAGGCCAGTCCAGGAAATGTAATACAACCGCAGTCAAGTTGATTTCAGCGAGACAGCAATTACACTTGAGCGTGGTAAAAACATGACTGCCCTTTGTCCGATGGTTATAGAGCAGGCAGTACAAACCGTAATCACACTAGTTTATTAATAAGATAGTGTATTAATAAGATTATGTTATAAGGTTAAATGGGCGGTATACGTTTACAGATCAAACCGACCAATACGCTAGTTGTACACAGTACACCAATACGCTGTTGTAGAATATCCAGGTTAAATGGTCTGTACGCTATTCGTTTACAGTACAGTATGTCTGTACGCTATTGTACACAGTACATGGCCTGTACGCTATTGTACACAGTAGATTGTAGGCGGTATACAGATCAAACCGACCAATACGCTGTTGTACACAGTACATCCAGCACAGGTTAAATGGTCTGTACGCTATTGTACACAGTAGATGGTCTGTACGCTATTCGTACACACCATCAGACCAAACTGATTTGTACGTATATACAGTACAGTGCACAGACCATAATCCGCTATTCGTATACCCTACAGTTTATGGGGGCGGTACTCAGGCCAAACCGACCAATAGGAGAGCCCGCTATTGTTACTACCATCAACCGCTGTTGTTACTACTTCTCTTCTTGTCCAAATCTAATCGCTTGCATATACGCAGGCATGCAAATGGTAAGCCGGGCCGGTCATTAATTACAGTACTGGCTGCTCTGGGTCGATTACTTTAAAAATTCATATCTCGCCTCCCAGTCTGTTACTATATTTCTGTACACTTTTCCCCACCAGATAGAGCACACTTCAGTTGGTGGGATTGCAAGTTTTGAGAAACTGGCCTTTTTGAGAAAAGCCAAAGTAAACTTATTTGTTTTGGTAGTAACGTCGGCAAAGAAGCTGCTCAAACAAGTCGGAAAGAGATCTAGCTAAAAACGACGAAGAACGAGTTTTAAGGCAGAAATTTCACTAGCAACCAAAGGGTTTGGCGTCTGTTATGGGTACAGTAGAAAAGTCTCTTTAATAGAGAATTGATTTTCTTGAATATTGTGATTCACATTTTTGGTAATATCATACAAATATCTTAAATAAATTTTCTTAAAGAGTGTATTATTAAAAATATCGGTCAACTATTTGTGTTGTAGAAACTGCGATATTACGGGAAAAATCTTACTATCACACCAGCTAATTTTCGCATCTTCAATCACCTGACCGTCATCACTCATTACCCTCAAATGGTTTGGTTTCAGATGCTCAATTTGCAGCACCACCAAGCTTCGCCAACCATCCGCACCATCCGCTCTAACCCCTGCACGTCTAACCCCACAATGTTTGGGGCACCTCCTCACTCGCACAGCTCTCTCGTTATGTTACGTGGCGAACCGCACCAGAAGGCAGTCTCATCCCCCTGGCCACGCATCAGGGGCAGCACCTGGCCGGGCATCGGGTGGTGGTCCCAACTCCCAAGGTGGGAGTCACCTGGCCACCTATCAGGTGTCGCCAACCTCCCTGGCCACTGATCAGGGAGGACACCTGGCCACGCATCAGGTGTCTGCGATGGCATAGACGCGTACGCATACGCTCCTTCCCGGTGGCCGTGCATGTTCTGACGATACCATGAGACTCCGCGGTCGAGCTGAGGCTGACCATTTGCCCGAAACTATTTGTCGGCGTTTCTCGAACATAGGCGTTAATAGCTGTCATTAGCAACTTTACAACACTATTGCGGCAGAGCTTGAGCCTTCTTATCTGCTAATACTGCAGAAAAAAATAGGATCAACAA